TTTACCCACCCACGAATAGTGGGCTCAACCACGTGCAACCCTTAACTTGGTTTGACACGGTCGATCGCCGTGAGTTTATGGCGTACGAACAGGCTGTATAGCTTTCGCTTTGACATGCTGCTCAATTGAGAAATAGAGATCAGAATTCTATGAATTCAACTCATTGTAGCGAGTTTTTGTAGAGGTATACCAAAATGGGACCGGCCAAGAAGTACGTACGGTCACTACTCGACACCCCTGTTGACACCTTGAGTAAGGCCACTGTTGCTCATTGGGTCTCAGCAATTGACGGACAGTGGGTGTTAAGTTGTCTCTTTAACGGTTAGTTAAAAACACTATGCCACGAAACATTAGTCTTTGTACTTGAAAATTGCTGTCAAAACACAATAGAAATTTTGGGAGCCATCCAAGTACCCGTTACTTAGCCGAATCGCGACTTACCGAGGCGCGACTTAGCGAGGGGCCACTGTACTTTCAATTGAACTTAGATATGTCGGTCATAAGATATTATCAGATATATTGGTAAGTTCGGAAGATACGCTGATTGTTCTTGGATCAAGGGTAGCTAAAATACTTAATAGATGATCTCATAAATAGTATCAATATTACCGCTTTAATCAAGCCATATGATATTCAATACAGTTAAGTATATACTGAACACAATAGTATAGGATTATTATAAGCCTAACGCAAAGTATTCATAATAATGAAGGAAGCAGTAGTGAATTGGATGACGTACTGTTGAGATATCCTCGGAATTACCGCAGGAATTTTCGTCATTCTGATCAAACCGAATTGTATATAAAGCAAAAACCTGAGCAAAAATCATTGCAATATTTTCTCTTTATACGTGTAATCGTTTAAACTGCATTAACTAATAAAGATATGGTGCACACTGTTCGATGCCACACAATTACAGCTTAATACATATAGTGATAGTATATACAATAAACTATAGGAAATACGTGCCTGATTTGTTTGCTGCGGCGTTCAAGACAATACCAGTGAAAACAGCAAACCAAAAAACTGAAATTAAATTATAATATTAATAATATAAGATTATTAACATACATAATCGTAAACATATGTTTAGTAAGGTAACACATCCCACTCACTGACTGGCCCATGTAATTATTATGATGGTGTTGGGTATTGTACTAAAATGTTATTTAACAGAATATTTGAATGATTACAACAATAAATGTATGATTTTAAGACTAGACACTACGTAACAGTTTTTAGTCACATGATCAGTGTGTAAAATAACAACGAAACCATCGAAGACATCTACAACAAGAATAATGTACGCCATTGAGTCCGATTAAAAAAACATTAATGATCGGAAATATGTATGCCAACTATATCCATCATTTGAAACAGAAAAGAACACGACATCCCAGTCTTTCCTAATGTTGGATTTCAACTTACGTGCAATGAATTTCAGTGTCGCTCTATAAACCATTTTTCACAACAATCCTAAATCCGCTGTATCATTCACTTGTACCTACTCGCAGTGGTCATATCTGCTCATTGAATTTACTTGATGATGTTAAATGCGTGTATGACTTGAGGCGGATTCATGAAGTACTATAACATCTGCCATTATATCGTTTTTGATAGCGCACAACCAATTGGAAACCATCATCAAATAATTAATGCTCATACAGACAAATTCAAGCATCTACTAGACCAATTCATACGCATAAAACTATTTCCTTGCATATAAAACACTCAACAAAGTCCAGGAATATGTAAAAGGACGCGAATATTGTAACATATTTCAATACACCTATTTGTATGAATATTAAGTAATATTAATAAAGTAACATCAAGTTAATAATTTTACAGATATGTAAATTTGTCATTCGATGTATTCAATCTTGCCTCATAATAGTAGCAGAGTTGAGAGTTCTAGTCAAAAAATGTTTTAAACTTGTGCCCTACGGCATGGGTGTGTCGAACGATCAGCAACAACAATTTCAGTGACAACTGTCATGTATAGCCAGATAAATACAAAGAAATTTTGTTTTCTCAAGCATGTATTTATTTACCATAACAACCAATCATTATTCAATTTCTACCTGCTATTTACACTATTGTATCCCACTTACTAACTCGCAAAGCTTGCTTTCAGTATGCGACTATCATTATTACCGAACAAGCACCAGGCTGACGTTTGCATTACTATCAGTAGTAGTTCAATATAGTAGTACTTATATGGCAAACACACATCGTAGTTTCTTTCGACATATAAGTTACATACACCAGCTCAATATTATATTGGTGGTCTTTGTTTACAAGTTCAAGGCCATCGGCCAATAAAAGTATACACATAAATATTCTTAAATTACAAAAATCCGTAATATCGCTTCTACGTTTCAATGTGTGATAAGCATAGGCTGCCAAACATTTAATTATATTGGTTTCTTGTGAAGTTAATAATTCTTCAAATTTATAAAAAGATGGAGGGTTGAAATAGTATTTGGAAGATACAATTGACGAAATTCAGAATAAAATGGGCATACTAAAAGGAAGTGGTATTCGTTTTCAATTTGATTTGCAACACAGACTTGACAAAGTCGCTGGTCTCTCTCAAGTGTTCCCCTGTCAGTTTCGATGCGCAGGCTATGCGAAGAGCAACGAAAACATGCTAAGGTTTTTTTGTGAGGGTTGATAATGACCGAAGTAAGATATTTTTTCCGCTGTAGTGCTGTTTCAAATTCTCAAACGTACATATGTAACTTAGCCAGTTATGCTGCAAGTAACATTTAAATCTAACAGTAAATGTTTCCATAAACGTGCTTGTATTGTTAAGGTTAAGTAAGCAAAATTCTGCTGCGCATTTGTTTTGCGCATGCAAACTCCCTAGCTTAGTTGAAACAAAATTGTGTGTTCTGCGTCGTATGCTGTCAATGTTTGCTCGATCGTGACTTGCGGTGTATGCAATGTCGGCCATAAGAAAATTTCTCTCTGGGAAGGAAAAAAGAAGACCTTGTGGCAACAGCGAATTCGGAAAGATGTTGTAATTTTGTAGCGAGTCATTCGGGTGAACAGGGGCGATTGACCATCAGTTGCGAGAGTGACCGGGATGTAAACAATGAAAATGGCGCAGCAGACGACAATGTCACCCGTAATAAAGATATTCCGTGGGACGAAGGCATCAGAATGGTGAATTTGGACGTTTTATCCAAGGGTTTAGACAGTTGTAATGTTTGTTCTTAACATCTAAGACTTAGTAGTTGCGTGGGAGAGTCAAAATACGGCGGTGGCTGTAATCTTCACATACCATGCGATCAGTCTGCCTCCATATACACCAACAAAACACAACACAAAGAAGGGAAGACATGCGGTATGGGTGCATTTGACATTGATACTAAAATAGCAACAGGTATGTTTCTTATATTTTAATGTGTTGATATGTTTTTCGAGATTACTGCACCAAAATGTTGCCTTGAATGAAATCACTTCCTGAAAAATATCTCCGTGCAGGAAGGGGGGGAGTAGATTATTAGATTGTATTTTAAGTTTAATTTACATAGCTATTTTATTTACGAATCCCTTGTCAATATTGTCTTTCCCTAAAGGTATGATCAATGCTGGTATTGGCGAACGTCATGTAAATTCTATGTTTACTGCAATGTCAATACCAAGCATACATAGTACAACATTGAAACGAAAAGAAAGAGAGACTAGTGAAGCAATTATAAAAGTGGCCAAGGAATCCTGTGTACATGCTTTAGTTGATGAGATGTCTTCTTCCAAAAAACCAAGGTATTAATGTTAAAAATATTACATAATAATGTGTGCCAATGTAATCAGTATTTTAACATGTTTCTGTAGTGGCCAATATTTGTGTTCCCATGTACTGAATGACAGTTATCTTTACTTGAAATATATTCAGTGTTCCCTCTGGCTAATTTGCTTGTGGCTAAATATTGTTAGCTAAATATGTAGCAAAATTTCAATATCATTTGAGTTGAAATTAATTTGAAGACCAAACATTTAATCTGTTTTCTATTCATTTAGAATTGATGTGTCATATGATGGTGGATGGTAGAAGAGGGGAGGGAAGTGGAAGAGTTTACACAAGTTTAGCAGGTAATATTATACTTTGTACTTGCCAATATTTGTAATTTATGGCAAATAATTTCACTAAGACAATGGCCAAACAAATTATTTAAGTCTGTGAGTGGTGAATAAAGTCAAATAATCAATCAATCAATCAATCAATCAATCAATCAATCAATCAATCAAACAATCAATCAATCAATCAATCAAAAAAAGAAAATTAGTCAATCCATGCATTCAAATCAACCAGTCAGCCAAAAAACAATCATTAGTCTGTCCACTCAATCACTCAACCAATAATTTAACTAATAGAGATACTTTATAAACGAATTAATAAAATATTTGGTAGTTGTAGTTAGTTTAATAAAGTGTATTTTACTTACGTCATGGTACAGTTCTAGGCTATCAGACAGGCAAGGTACTTTCATACAGTACAAGATGTAAACTGTGTCGTGTTTGTGAAGGTGCGCAAATGATGGGAAAGGAGACTCGGTGTCATAGCTGTCATAAGAACTGGTTAGGCAGTTTAAAAGCTATGGGGACAGATATTGCTGTTGAAGCAATAAAAGAAACTGAGCAAAAAGGTGAAATAGCCAGCATAACAATGGATAGATTGCAAACAAAAATAAAAAATGACAAGGTAAAAAATAACCACACAAAGAAAGGATTTACTAATAAACTGTATAAGTTAAAGGAAGATTACAAGCAGTTATTAACAAAGGTCATAAACTATTTACAGAAGTGTTTTAGTTATGCAATCTCTCAAAATCGTGACAGTGTTAGTAGCATGCAAAAGAATCTGAAATCTATAATCCCACATGCATTTGGAGACCATACACATTGTTATGGCAGTTGGTGTCAATATTTAGTTGACCCTGCTAATTACAAACACAGTAGCCTGCCTTATGGAAAGGAATTGTGTAGTGATGATCTAAGAGCAAGTTCAGATAAGATTATGAAGACTTACATAGATAGTTCAAATGACTTAGCTAGGATGGGTTCAACACAGGGTAATGAAAATATGAATATGGTGATAGCTTCTAAGGCACCAAAAGCAAAACACTACAGTGGCTCTGATAGCTTCAATGTCCACATTGCAGCAGCTGTTGCCCAGAAGGACATAGGGCATACATATGTGTGTCAGGTTGGTAAATTAGCTTATACATGTAGTTCTACACCCATACTAATTGTATGTATGACTATAAATGCATGTATTTATATTGACACAATAGAGAGTAGTTAAATGTTAAGTAAATACTTATGTGTAAAATCACTCATAGTATAAATAAATTGTGGCACAGTAATTCACTGAATGTGCAGACATACATTGTATGTTGTGTATATACCCCTGTACTCACCGGATAGATATAATTATGACAAATGTTGTTAAGATAAGTTATACAGTGCCTGAACATTTTATAGGCAATGTCCCAATTTCAACACACATAAAAAAGACTGACTGTATGTTTACATTAGAGAATACTACTATGGTGAACCATATATTTTGCTATTTAATCTGGGTCAACCAAAAAAATAACTTGTCACCCAGTAGTGCATGCCAAACAAGAAAAACAAAAATCCAAAACAAGAGAAAAAAAAACTACAACGATAGTATTATGATATTGTATTGCTGGGGGACATAAAGTACAACATTCACTCTAAAAGGTGGGAAGGGGTTAAATTTCTACTTTTTCAAAAGAAAAGGGGTCCAAAATTCGAGTTTTGCAGCCATAGAAAATAGTAGGCCAAAATACCGCCTTTTCCAGAAGCAGTGTCTTTCCAAAATCCAAAGGCGCCAGCTAGCCAGGCCGATAGACAGTAGGCTTCCCTGTAGCCACCTGAGGAAAACTCATATCTTGGGCAACACTATGTGAGGATTTTGTGTTCAAATTTTATGGCAGAAACATCAGTGTATTCACTTTAGAATTACACGATGTTTAGGTAGATGAATAACATTCCAATGTGCTAAAAGAAAAAAAACAATGACTCAAACAAACTCACTTTGAGGTAGTCAGTACTGATATACGGACCGGCCATAGAAGGCACTGTTGCATATTAAACTCAGAAGTCCCCCCCAATATAAACCAGATGTTTACTAGATTACAGCCAATGTTTCATTTCCTGTTGTTTTTCCTTGCAGGTTCAGATGCAGAGATTACTCAACTATCTGCTGTTACTGGTGAGAGACAGTTTGAAGGTTATATATTGCCAAAACAACAGTCCAGTTGTTTCCAGGATAACTCATCTGATGGTAAAAAATGGTGAATTGTGCTACCAGAGCCAACCAGTGAAAACAATGGATTTTAAAAAAAAAACATGCTCGGAAAAATTTCTTTATTTTTTTTAGATGTCAAGAATCCTATTTTAGTTGGTCATAATAGGTTTATGGAAGTTGTTAGTGGTTTTGTGAATACTCTGCCATTGTTTAAATCTGTGTATCCTGGTGAAGATTCATATGCACAACAAAGTTTGGTTGGTGAATTTGTTGGTCAGGTTTATAGTTTACATAATGCTAGTGTGGATGTGCTTGCACTACAGAATTGAATGTTGCAAAATTGACTTGCCAACAATGTTAGATCATAGCTATACATTTGAATATGCTGTTAGTTGTCACGATTACAATAGTAAAAAGTCATCTAACTATAACACATTGTCTATACTAGTCAACAGCAAAATAATCAGTAAGTCAATGGCACAGAAAATTTCAGGGTCAGGCCCAAGGTACAGTCAATGAAGCTGGCTTATGATAGAGGTGACATTGATGGACTTACCAGAATACTTACAGAAAAAATAGATGATATTGTGAGAGTTACAAACAGAATCATCTTAAATATATATGAATATTTCAATAAAAAGTGATGGTTATTTTTTATTTAAAAACATGTGTTTTCGCCATGCAAATATAAAATTGTTATTATATCAAGCAAAATCTAACTGAAGAACACACTAATATAAATTACACAATAATTGTTATTTTGTATATATATATACTATATCAATAAAAATACAAGTTACTTTGTATGAATCATTGTGTTACTTGCATGTGAGCAATTATTGGTATGGAAATTTTGTTTGATGGTCCTGCTATATTGAATAAATCAAATAGTTACATTACTTATTTAATTTTATCTCTGCTAAAAGTCATCATTTTCTGGTGCTTTAGAATGAAAAATTGGTCATCCTCCATTCACAAACTCTATACACCTATTCCCATTACAGGTATAAAATGAGTAGCCTGAGGGGTCTAGTTTTATAACTATCATAACATACTAGCTCATAGTTCGATCAGGTGATTAGTCTATATGAATCTAAAATTTGGTACGTTTAAGATGCACCGTATTTGGACAATAAAATTAACTTTTTAAAATTTGCCCCCCCCCAACTTACTGGTTATTATACAGAAACTGATAAAATGGCGTCCGTATATTATTTCAACATCACACAAAGAGGAATATTCACTCCTATAATTTGAAAACGAGTATGGTTACCACCATTTTTTTTCTTGCGCATGTAATTGTCATATGTCCAGCTCCCCACATGTGAAATATGATTAAATTGTCATTGGTTTTGGGAATTTTGTGAGTTCACCAATTTCAGATTTTTTTTGTTCAGCTAGGGTTATTCAAACAGTCGATAGTTTTGATTACTATGGTACCACATATCTGTTTAAAATAAAAGTTTTTGATAATTTTGCCAATTATCATTTAAGTAAACGGAGATTTATTATTTGCTGTGGTAAGTGATACACGATATGATATACCTGTTTTGTCCAGGCTTGGTGAGCCATAATAAAGTGGCGTTACCATGGAAACGAGTGCGGTGACGCCATATTTTTATTAGCAATTTCGAAACCCCCAATATAGAAGAATGCTTATACAAAGTTTGGTATAATTGACATGGGTTTTGAAATTGTCATATATTGGAACGCTGTACCTTAACTTCCTGACTGTACCAAAAATTATGCATATTACAAATAAAAAAAACAAATTCTTTATATCAGAGATCCATGTATGCTTATTTCTAACTCCAGACTCTTCTATACTGTAAAGCATATCATAACATTTACGGTGATATCTATTATGGAGCATGTTAATTAATTTTGCCCAATATTTTGCACAAACAGTTGTTTATTAGACGAGGTATCCCATTTTTCTGGATTCGTTCGAGGCAATCATACTGTCGAAATCCCCAAATTTCAGCACCATATGATAAAATTGGCAAAATCTTGGAGTCAAAAAGTTGAAAAATACATCATAATTTAGGGACCTGTTTTGTCACTTATTTTCATAATGGCAAACATGGCATTTTTGGCTTGTTCTGCTAAAACCTTTGTTGCTGTTGACCATAGACGTTTACAAGAAAAATCAACCCCAAGATAATTATAGTAGGTAACTGCCTCGATTTCATCACCTTTATAAAACCATTTTTCATTTTTAGACAAGTGACCACTAGCTTTAAAAAACACAACTTTAGTTTGTTTCCTATCCACTGTCATTTTCCACCTGTCACAGTAACTACTTATTATTTTAAGTAATCTTTGCAACCCGATAACCGTATCTAAAAACATTGCTACATCATCTGCAAATAATAAGCAGAAAAGTTTCACAGGGTCGGGGAAGAGCTGTCTGACATGATAATTGCGTTGCGTTGCTGCAATTCAAAGAACAGTTCGTTTATGAAAAGGAAAATAAAAAGGGCTTAGCATGCAGCATTGCTGAACGCCGACAGAACAGTCGAAATATTCGGTTTCTCCATTTGGGGGCGGACACAAGATTTCACGTTTGAATATATGCTGGACAATATTTTAAACATTTTCCCGTTTATACACCCTTTAGCAGAATATACCACAACCTTTGTCTATCAACAGTGTCAAAAGCCTTCGAAAAATCGAAGAACGCACAATAAAATTTTCACCGTTTTCTGGTAATGTACTTATGAATAATTGACAGCGTGATAAAAATGTTATCAAACGTTGGGTAACCCTTTCTGAATCCCGCCTGTGCTTCGTCGATCTTTCCAAGTGCTTCTGCCCCAAAATACAGCCGTCTAATTAGCATCGAAGTAAAAATTTAACCAAATATACTGAGCATGGAGATTGCTCTATAATTCCCTGGGTCATCGGTGGACCTTTTTTTATATATTGGAATGACAATTGCTCTTGACCAGACGTTTGGGAATTTTCCTGATTCAAATATTTGGTTTAAAATAATGTTTAAAATGTGGGAAAAGAGTTTTTAAAGAATTTGCCAATCAGCTCGTCGGAACCTGCAGATTTACTATTTTTAATACTAGTAATGCTATGACTAATTTCGTCAGCTGTGATAGACCCATTTAGGATATTCCCATAGTGCTAGGTTGAAATTCGTCAACTAATTTAAGTAGATCCTGGAACTCGTCTGCAAGAGCAAAGTTATCCTCTGCCTTATCACCTGTAAAGAGCGTACTAAAGTAGTCATACCATTTAGCAGGTGTGATAGGCAGATTTGGTTTGGCAGAGAAAGGGTTATTTGGTTGTCTAAATGACGACCAAAACAGATTTGTATCAGCGCATATCAAATGTGACTTGATTTGATCTATATGTTGGTGTTTTTTGTCCCGGCAAACATACACAAACCTTTTACTCATTAAGTGGTATTCATGTAAATGAGTTGGGTTATTGGTATTACGGAATTCGTATAACAATCTGTATTTCTCTTTTTTATGTTGTTTACAATCATTGTCAAACCAAGGTGGTTGTTCTGTATATGTGTTTGACATTTTCTTTATCATACCACAGTTATCAGCTACAGATCGATTCAAGTCTTCAATTATATTAACAGATACGTCTGTATGAGATTTACATTTTCAGAAATCGGGTTTAACCCATTTTGTATTTCCTCGGTATATAATTTGCTCATACAATTTGCATTGACATAAAATTGTTTATGTACAGACCCCTGTATACTAAATACAAGTGGGAGATGATCAGACTCTGTACGGGACATAATAAAGAAATCAGTGATATCAGTAAATAAAGGTGTCGACACAAGAACATAGTCAACAAGGCGTGCCCCGTTACTTGAGATACACGTAAAGTAACCAACACATACATCGCTGCCTACTATACCATTCAAAATATGCAAATTGTGTGAGCAGCAAAGAGATAACAAAGTACGACCAAAATTTTTAGAAATGTTATCTTTTGTTGCGCTTGGAATGTTGAAGGTCACCGTTTAAAATCAATTTGCGTCATCAACTTAAATAAAATGGTGATCAAACAATTTTCAAATAATTCAATTCCATTTCGTGATTCATGATTATCATACAGTGTTGCATTTTGGGGAGGTATATAAACATCACAATAGATGATATCTTTATCAAAGCCAAACAATTCTTTTTGGAAAGGAAAAAATAAGCAATCATGAAGGCCAGTTTTGATACATTTAACATGGTGAATCAAATTATTTCTAATTAGTGTTAAGACACCTCCAAAAAATCGAAAATCGATTACTGACTTTCGCGGTCTAATACGATTGTACACTTTAAACCCATGAAAAAATCAGAAAGATTCGACAGATTCAGGCCAGGTTTCTGTTAAAGAAATAACATCATATGATAGTAAAAAGTTTATGAATTCGGGAGACTGAAGTTTATATTTTAATCCTCTGATATTCCAAGAAATAACGTTTATTTTCGTCGGGTTTTGGCCGGATTCCTATTCGGCAATATTGTCGACCAGCACATTTTCTCCAGTGCTCAGGGTTTGTTTTTGTGTTCGAGGTCGAGTAGGTGGTCGTCGGTCTTCTTTTCTTTGGATCTGATTTGATGACAGTGCCCTATCAGAATCCTAAACAATTTAGCTCTTTTAAAATATCCCTTTTCCCGTCTGACTTCAATTTTCCCAGTATTTCATTTTGGCGCCTCATCAAATCATTCTTTTTGCACTGGACGGACAGTGAGTGCAAGTAGCTTATCATCGGAATAGTGAAATTTCGCAATAATTGGACGTGTACGGCCCTGAATCGGAGTGTTCGGCACTCTTTGTGCACGGACAATATTCCGTTTAACCCATACTTTTTCAGTGATACTTTCATTTAATAAGTTTAATACTTTGACCTTACAGTCTTCGAACAACAGGCCGTCAGCTTCAGCGATTCCATGGAGTTTTACAATATCTGTCCGAGAAAATGACCCCTGTCTATGAGCATCGGCATCTAAAATATCTATACGTTTGATGATTTCGTCCAGCTTTTCGTTTATCACTGTACAGTCAAGATCTTGAATATTACTATTTTCGGAAATTTCTCCAACTTCATCCTTCAATATATTCACTGTGACATTGTAGCTTCGTCACCTTTTCACAGTTGTCTTGGCGCGCGTGAACAGAGGACCCACTGAACCATATGAAGTTAACGTAGCTAGTGACACATGTACGAATAGATCCGAAGTACATAACGTACACAGTTTTATGGTTTTAAAATTGAGTCCTCAATATGTAGTGCGCCCTCAGTGTTGGATTCAATCTGACACAAACTTATCTGGAATTCTAAAAATGAACACGGAAC